ATAGGGCACTCCGTCTGCCAGTCACGAGGAGGCGGGACCGCGGGGGCGGGGCTGGGCGGGGCTGGCGCTGCTTCCACGTGAGAGGAGGCAGGGCGGGGACCGAGGCGCAGGTGGCCCCGGAGTGGCAAGAATGCTGGGAAACCGGGAGCTGGCGGATCGGCATGTCGGTGTGCAGCCGGAAGAAGGCACTGGCTGTCCGAGTGCTTTCTCTGTGTCTTCTTGGGGTCCCATTGTTTCCATCTGTTAACCTTGCTCTCCGTCCCGCCAGCTTTTTGGGTGAGGGGTTGGGAGGACCCGGGCGGTAGAGCAGCCCTGGAAAAATCAAACCCTCATTTTAGAAACGGAATTTTGACGGCGGAACTTAAACATTTCCATGGTCTTCCTAAAGTTACAGATTCACTTGGCAATTGGAGGAAGACAAGTGTACTTAAGAGGAACTCTTTCAGAAAAGGAAGGTGTAGAGAGAAGCCCTTTTTAAAAAATATGGTGAAGGCTCTTTTTAGATTGTGTACCAACTCATCCGAAATGGAAGGCACAGTGCAGAGCGCCACCCCTCTTCAGTGCCTGCACATCAAAAATCTTCAGTATTTGTTGGCTAAATAAAAAGAATTGCATATACCAGGGCAGGGGGTGGGGAGCGGGGCGCGGTGAAGTGTGTCAATTGTTCGTATGTATTGGATAAAGCACTTTATTTTTCCAAATGATGGCAGAGCTCACTCCCCTCTGAAGCTCCGTTTTGTCAAACTGCATTCATTCAACAAGTATTTATTGACTGCATATCTGTGTAGGAATAATTGTGGTCCCTACGAATAGACGGTGACAAAAGTTCCTGCCACTCAGGGAGTCTACATTTTATTGACGGAAAACATGAACAACTCCATAAAGTAGGTTCAGAAAGTGGAACGTGCCATGTAGAACATGAAACAAGCTCCTGTGATCAGGTGTAAGTAGGACGAACTAAGATGAGAGTGGAGATGAAGGCGGGGATAGGCCCATGAGCAGGAGCCCTGAAGCTCAGCAGGTTTGTTGTTGGGAAACAGGTGGTGTCCTCTGCCCAGAGAACAGAGGGGGTGGAGGGATGGTGCCAGATGAGGTCTGAAAGTGAGGAAGGGCCAGATCATGGTGGGCCTTGTGATGAGAGAAACTGACTGGGATTATTTTTTTTTTCCTAATGATAGTGGAAGGAGGAAGATTTTAAGCAAGACAGCGATTCGTATCAGTCAGATTGCTAGTTAAAAGTTAGGAGGCTGTTGATTGGAAGAAGGCTGAGGGTAGCTGAAGCCAGGGAGTGCCAGTGAAGATGGTGAGAGAAGAGAGTGGACTTGGGATACGTTTTGGGGCACAGAGCCTTGCCAATGAATTGAATGTATGTCGTGAGAAGAATGAATCATGGGCGACTCGTGGGTCTGGTTTAAGCAATGCTGCTTGTCATGGGACATAAACAGGCAAGTCTGGGGATAGTATGTTTTGATGGAGAATGGAGCATTACATTGTCATGTTACATTTGAGATGTGCATTACATTCCCAAGTGGAGCTGTCATGTAGGCAGTTGGGTTTCACAGCCTGGGACTTATGGGAGAAGCCAGGGAGGGAGGTACAGCTCACATTTGGGAGTTGTCAGGGTCTACCTGGAATTTACAGCGATGGGGGGTGGGGGGTGGGGCGAAACGTATCAGAGAGTACAAATAGAGAAAAGGGCCAGAGGCCAAGATCTGGGGGCACAAGGAGATTTAGAGGTCAAGCCGAGCCAAGCAAGGAATAAGGAGCAGGAGGTGAGGTTGAAGGAAAACTAGAATAGTGTGAGGTCGTCGAAGCTGGTAATGAGATTTCGAAGAGGGAGTTGGCTACTGTATCAGATGCCGGTGAGAAGCAGAGTAAGACAAGGGCAGAGCATTTCCTGTTCGGCTTTACCAACATGGTGATGTTACTTGGTCTTGGGTGATTTGGTTAAAGATATCTCAGTAGTAAGGGCTGAAGAAAAAGTGGGATGTGACGCAGTGACAAGAGGGAGCTGTAGGGAGGGGTTTTGCTGTGAAGGCCTGTAGACAAGTGATTGTTTGCTGGCAGGAGTCATGTGGGGATCACAGTGAAAAGCCTGCTTGATGCGGTGACCCAGGAAGGAGGGGGACGGGCATGATGCAGGAGGGGAGGGCTGCGGACGACAGAACTGCTGGAGGGAGGTCCTTGGTTAGGGGTAGGGATCCAGAGCCTTGGCCAGAGGCAGGTGCCTCTGTTAACAGCTGTGCAGGCAGGAGGGGCTTTGCCTGTGGTCTCGTCCGTATAGATTTTTAAATGCTTGCTATTTAAGAGATGAGAAAAGGAAAAGTGATTCTCTAATAATTATGCCAGAATTGCGTTTAGTAAATTCTAGTTTTATGGTTTTACCGATTGTTTTCTGCTAACATGAAAAGCAGCTGAGTTGTGAATAAAGATGTTTACTTTAAAATGCACTGAGCAGTGTGGTCCATTTAAACTTTTTTTTCCCTTGACATCGGGTGGTGAGAATTTTGGCAAAAATATTTTTATGTAAATATAGTTGCTATACGATATTAGTTGTACTAGTTTCAGGTGCACAATATAGTGATTTGACATTTTTCTACCTTACAATATGATCACCTCACTAATTCCAGTGATCAGCTGTCACTGTGCAATCTCTTCTTGTCCTTTGCCCATTTTTTGATCAAAATTGAGTTTGTACGAGTGTATATATATTTCAGATATCAACTTATCGGATATATCATTTACACATATGTTCTCATTCAGTAGCCTTTTTTGTTTTGTTGGTTTCCTTTGCTATGCAGCCTTTTAGTTTAATGAAATTCTAGTGTTTATATTTGCTTGTTTCCCTTGCTCGAGAGGACATATCCAAAAAGATGTCACTCAGACTGATGTCAGAGTGTACTACCCGTTCCCTTCTAGGAGTTTAGTTTCAGGCATTACATTTTAAGTTTTTTATTCATTTAGAATTTATTTTTGTATATGAGAGTGGTCCAGTTTCATTTTTTTGTATATATCTGTCCGGTTTTCTCAGCACTACTTGTTGAAAAGATTGTTGTATCTCCATTGTATATTCTTGCCTCCGTTGTCCGAGTAATTGAAGTCTGGTCAATTTTAAAGCAAACATTAATTAATCCTCACTCAAAACCAATAAAAATATTGCCATACTTAAGAAAACACATTTTATTAGTGATAGAAATAGAGTTATTGTGTAGCAGTTACAAATCATTAGAAAAAACTTACAAGGGGACTTTGCCCCTGGTCTTGGACTGAAATTGCTGTCATGAAGGCAAAAGTTCACATTCCATTTCTCCTCCTTGAGGTGACAGGATATTTTCCCCACCACCCTGAGGTTCCCCGCGGTCATATGACTTGCTCTGGCCAATGGAACGTGAGCAGAGCTCCTGGCTTCACTTCCAGGTGGAAGCTTCAAGAGCCAGTGCATAATTCCTGACCTTCTCTTCCCGCCACGGTGATGACCCGAAACAGATGTTTACAGGAAGTTCCTCTTTAAGGGACTGAAGAGAGCGCCTTCCCGTTGGCTGGCATAGGACATGTAGCATGAACAAGGACAAAATTTTAAGCCATTGAGATTTAGGGGATGTTTGTTATAAAGTACACCTCCAGCATATCCCATGCGATATACATAGAGTAACTGAAGTCACTGTATATATATACAGTGACCAAAAACACTAGCAAGCCCAGTGGACTCGTCTGGCATGGATGCTGGTGAATGATGGTGCCATTCGCTAGGACAGATGCTGTGGCAGGACGAGGAGCCGAGGCTTAGATGTCTGGTGCACGTTGAGTTTGAGAGGCCGTGTCTAACAGGCCAGGAATCACCAGCAGATTGACAAGTAGTATCATGGGAACAGGAAAAACTGGAGGGGAGGATGGAGACCAGTTGGCTGAGGACCCAGCCCCGAGGGACCCTGACAGTCAACGG